GATGTATTTAATTTTTATGTAAACTGAATAATATAAATTAAGCTGAAGACCTTAGCCAGCTTTTTTTTTTTTTTATTTTTTTTTTATGTAAATATATTCTTTGACTCATGGGACCAAATGTTATGATGATTGTATTTTCTGCATTTCATTGTTATTAGCTATTTGTTTATGCATACAGAAACATGAAATGTAGTTAGGAATTTTCTCTATGGCATTGTACAGTATTGTAAATGTAAAATTTAATTACCTATTTAAATTATGTCTAGAAATGAGTGTCATTTATTCCTTCTTCAATTGTATATTTATCATTATCATCAATCATTATTACTACTTCCCACTTATGGGGTGCAAAGACATTTGCTTTGAGAGAATAATAAAATTAAAAAATTACAAAGTTTAATTTTATTTTACCATAAACTATGTTCCTCTATTCACCTCTCGTGAATGAAACCTTAATGCTTCCTATGTCCTCAGGTGCTGTATGACCCCCTACAGGTTTACCTCTCCCTTTGTCTCTAATACCTTCCATTCCTTAGGTGCTGTGTGACCATATGAGTTTAATCCTGTTGCATGAATATAGTATTACTGTACAATGATATTGACTTGCTAGGCTTTCCTCATACCTGGAACAGAAGAGATATGGCTAAGAAGACATTAAGAACTTTTCCTAAGTTTCCTGTTAAGGGAGAAGCGTAACTCTCCATCTTTCTTCACCTGGAGCTGTGGATTATTAGTAAGTGTTTGGTAAATTTCACATTTACATTGGTTTGAAGTCCTTCTCACTATATGCTCTGGTCTAGGATAGCTCACTAATACACAAAATATCTAGGGAAATACATTATTGTGAGAGGTCCATAAGCAACATGATTTTTTGGTGCCTAGATTGTTGGTAAGGTGCTCTTGGCCTGAGGTACTGGAGCTGCCCTTCTCTTCCTCAGATCAAATCTGATTGCCTCTCATACCATAGGTGCTGTATGACCCCCAATGAATTTGGCTCTTCCCCAGAAATAAAATAATTAGCTAATTTGTTGACAAAGATCATACAAACATCAATAAGAGAAAATCCTTTTGATTCTGTGGCTCCTACAAGGTTCCTCAATTAAAATGAAATTTTTTATTTCTTTATATGTCATACAAAGATAATGTATATAATTTACATGTAATAAAACATTGTTAAGCATAAAAGAAAGCCACAAGTATGCAAATGCATTTCAGGTAAACTAATCTTTGCATATAATACATTAGCCTTGGTAGCCAAAGTTATTGCTAAAGCTGTGTTGGCAAAGTGCTAAATCTCTGGGTAATTCAATACTTTTCCAAGAGGTTTTCCTTGGGTAGGAAGATGATGAAATTTCACATGAATTGGAGCATTTTTATGCTCTATTCCCATCTCTAGCTTAGTATTTTATTTTGGATTTTCTTTTTATTTAGGAATTTTCTTTACCTTCCTTGAAATATACCTGATTGCCTCCCATTCTCAAGCACTATATGACCATTATGAGTTTAAGACTTCCTCATGATGATTATAATATGCTCTATTCCCATCTACTTTCTATGAAATCCTTACTTTTTTATAAAGTTTTCTATACAACATTTTTATACAGTGGACCCTCGGTTATCAGCTGTTCCTGTTATTAGCCAAGTTGGCTATAGGTCGTTTTTTTTGGCTACCGGTTATCAGCCATTTTTTCGTTTATCGGTCGTATGGGACGTGTCCGCCTGCTGGCCTAGCCGCTTGCACGTCAGTTTGGCTGTCTCTCTCAGTGCGTGAGGAAGCTTCTGCCCATTCATCTAAACATTTCACTTGTTTTCCATTGTTTTTGGTGGGTTTTTGTAGTGCAACCCCAAAGAAAGTTCCTAGTAAATCTCCTGTGGTAAAGAAAGTGAGAAACACCATGGAATTCAAGAGAGAGGTGATTGAAAAATATGAGTGGTGTGAGGGTGTTGGAACTTGTTAGGATGCACAGCAAAAATAAATTAACAATCACTTCCATCCTCGCAAAGAAAGAACAAATCAAGCAAGCTAATGTTGTGAAAGGAGTAAATATGCTAACGAAACAAAGGTCACCAATAATGGAAGATATGAAAAAGTATTATTGTGGATTAAGGAAAAACAATTAGTGGGAAACAGTGTTATGGAGTCGATTATTTGTGAGAAGGCAAGGCTTACAAAGAAAACTCGTGGAACAAGTGCTGTAGTTAGTGAATTTAGGGCCAGCAAAGGTTGGTTTGAGAGATTTAAGAAGCATAGTGGCATACACAGTGTGGTAAGGCATGGTGAGGCTGCCAGTTCTGACAAATGTGTGGCTGAAAAATTTGTAGCAGAATTTAAGGGGTACATAGAGGCTAAATGATTCAAACCCCAACAAGTGTTCAGTTGTGACGAAACAGGCCTATTTTGGAAGAAAATGCCAAAGAGAACCTACCTTACCCAGGAGGAAAAGGCACTGCCAGGACACAAACTTATGAAAGACAGGCTAACTCTTGTTCGGTGGTATTG